CTTCTGCTGCTGCTGCTGCTGCTACTACTACTACTACTACTACTACTACTACTACTACTACTAGTACTACTACTACTAGCGCTACTACGACTACTACCGCCATGACTACTGCAATAACTACTACTACTACTACTACTACTACTACTACTACTACGACTACGACTACGACTACGACCACGACTACGGCTACGACTACGATTACGGCTACGGCTACGACAACGACTACTACTACTACTACTACTACTACTACTACTACTGCGACTACTATGACTACTATTACGACGACTACTACTACTACTACTACTACTACTACTACTACTACTACTACCAGAACAACAATACTATAGTAGTAGTATAGTAGTAGTAGTAAAGTGTAGTAGTACTAGTACTAGTTAAGCTTACACTACTACAACTACTACTACTAACTACCTACTACTAACGACTACACACCCATCTACTAGTACTACTACTACACTACTACTGCTTACTACTACTACGACAACTGCTGTTGCTGCCGCCTCAGCTTGCTGCGTTGCTAACTACTACTACAACTACTACGTACTACTACTTACTACTACGACTACACTGCTACTAACTACTACTACTACTACTACGACTACCATCACTATTATTACTACTACGACGACTACTACTAAGGCGCGTTACTACTACTACTACACTGACTACTAGGACGATTAATTACTACTACTACTACTACCTACTACATTACTGCGACTATACTACTACAAACTATCAACTATTACAACAACTACTACTACCGTACTACACTACTATTACTACTACTACTACTACAATACTAGTACTGAACTAGTGCTAGTACTAGTACTAGTACTAGTACTAGTACTAGTACTAGTACTAGTACTAGTACTACGACTACTACTACTACTACTACTAGTACTACTACTACTACTACTACTACTACTACTACTAGTACTACTACTACTAGCGCTACTACGACTACTACCGCCATGACTACTGCAATAACTACTGCTACTACTACTACTACTACTACTACTACTACTACTACTACGACTACGACTACGACTACGACCACGACTACGGCTACGACTACGATTACGGCTACGGCTACGACAACGACTACTACTACTACTTCTACTACTACTATTACTACTACTACTACGACTACTATGACTACTATTACGACGACTACTACTACTACTACTACTACTACTAC